TATCTAGAGATCTTTTCAAAAATATTTTCTTGGTACAAAACTCTGTCTACAGGGAACTTTGGCATCAAAGACAGTAGCATCTGCTATCTACTTGGAAGCAGAAATGTGAGGTGTAAAGCTTATATACCTTCATATTCACTGATGAAGAACAAGTGAGGAAATCAAGACAAAACGTGGCCAACAAAAGGCCATTATTTATACAATCTGCAACCCTCTAAAAAAAACTCCAAACGTTTCAGGTATACAAGCGAAGCAGCTTGGCTCCAACTCTCTTAGAACAGAACATGCGTATATAAAAATGCTGTGAATAACACAGCAAAAGAAATCTCAAAGCATTCACTATTTTACTGGCCAAAAAGTTTACCTTCATCTTATCGATTTGTTTGTTTATATGTGTATATATCTATATACATGTAAAATACAGGTTTAATATATTATTTAGTACAGGTAGATGTCTCTGAGTGAATATAAACTATCAAAAAATTAAGACTCTGAAGGTAAAACAGACACTAGGCACCCATTCCTCTCCATTACGTTAAGCCTTCCTTTATTTCACTAAGTCAAGCCTTCCTTTCTCACCCTATCACACCCTATTATGCTCCTTAAATAGGAAGTCTCAGCTCTGTTTTAGAGAAAACTAAAATTAAGCCCTGACTATTGAATTCACACTTAGGATTCAGAGAGTAAGTCTAAATAAACATTTCATGTCAAAAAACTCTTTTAGGGCTTCCCTGGTGGCGCAGTGGTTGAGAGGCCGCCCGCTGATGCAGGGGACACGGGTTCGTGCCCCGGTCCGGGAAGATCCCACATGCCGCGGAGCGGCTGGGCCCGTGAGCCATGGCCGCTGAGCCTGCGCGTCCGGAGCCTGTGCTCCGCAACGGGAGGGGCCGCGACAATGAGAGGCCCACGTACCGCAAAAAATAAAAATAAAAAAATTAAAAAAAACTCTTTTAACCAGTCCTTCTCACTCCATTCTTCCTTACTTTTCAGAAACATTGTTAAAACTATATCGAAACATAATTTTAACTGTATTTTAAAAAGCAATTTTTTTTCCAGAATAGATTAACAATATAAAGTAACACAGGTGGGAATCCTAGAATTCACTTGGCTCCTTAATAACCCCAAAGAAAACATTTATTTTAGCCAAACAATTGTAATGTTTGTCTCCTTTTAGAAACATCTGCTGCCAAAATAAATATGTGCATTGGAAGAAGTGTTTTGGCTGTTAAGATGATACCAAATAAAATGCTTATGTTCTGAAATAAATATTCTACTCAGAAAACACACAGCAAAATAGACACATCCAAAGGGTGTAGAAGATAAAGGCACAAATTAAAACACCTATATTCATTTTTAAAGCCTTTTTCAAAACAACCTCAGTGTTTAATTCAGTTGTTATTTAGATTGAAAGTGGTAAGTTCAGATGGGTCGCCTTAACAAAAATAACAAGTTCTATTTAATTTTGCCACGATATCTTTCAAAGCAATAATTATATTCCATATTCTTGTTGTTGTAAAGGTCTTCGCAATACAGATGTTTTTAAAAACTAAAAAGTCATGTCTTCCCATTGCAAAAGCACTCATGAACTTATACATCTCTCACTTTGACCTTTTTCTCCTTCCCTGGTTTTATAATTCCAACAGGTATCAGGTTATACAAACATCTGCAACAAGATATGGAGAGTTAAAATATCAGTCCAATAACCCTTGATAACTTGAGAAAAATCTCAGACCCCATAATTGAAATCAGCTTGACACAAATAAATATAACCGCTTCTGTAACCTATTTCTTCTCGGTGTTATTTCTTTTATATGACAAATCTTTTTTAAAGCAAGTCAGCATAGGCCTATGTATACATTTATGATCACAAAGGACAAGAAAAATGAAATAAAACATTTGCTCACCCACATCCCCAATCAAGCAAAGGACACATTGGTGTCTAAGTTTAAAAAAACAAAATCTAAAAAACTCAAGAGTCAGATTCTAGTAACCTTAAAAATTATACATCCTCTGTGTAGCTCCGTATTAGATGAAATCAACCAGTGTACTTCTGTTAACCATCCCCAGGTTTGAATTCCAGGAGCCTAGAGGCAGAACATTCTCCACAGAGGCACAGAAAATTCATTTCCCCTCTCAGCTCAATAAAACCCCAAGTAGACTAGTTTTTAGGACACGGTGCAAAACTAATCTGTTTACCATGTATTTGTCTGATGATGTGAGAGAATCAGCAAGTGAAAAGACCACAAGTCTAGTTCCAGTTAATAAATACCAAAACGATGTACTATTATCACATCATGCTTCAAAGACCCAGTCATGAGTATATTTCAAAAATAAAATGATCACCATACAAATCAAGAATCCCCAGGTTAATACTAAAATCCAACACTCACTGGCTAGTTCCCCCTAACTCTCCGAGACAAAAAGTAAGCAGTGATACCATGCATGTTAAATTTCATATAAGCACTGTGGTTCTTTCTAACAGAATACTCATTTAAAATTCCTGTCACAGGAGTAGAACGCCAGCCAGGAATCAAACTGTGACCCCTGAGCCAAAGACAACTTACCACTCAGCTAGTAAGTGGGCAACTCAATATACAAACTTGAATTCCTACATTTTAATCCTTTGCAGAAATACATGAGCAATATTAAATGAACTGGATTCAGCTCATTAGAGGTTCACAAACCAAGCACAGAAAGCTTTGGAGGCTGTCCAAAGTCATGCCTAGGTGGTGATGTCCACTCAATAAAAACTCAATGTCATCATTATCTTCCAATTTTTTTCCCTGAAGAACATTACCAGCCATGACCACAACAATGCTTAGCCAATTACATCAGCACTAAGAGAAGATGGATAGGACTGGCAGCCAATCACTGTGCCAGGACCTTGTCTGTGGACCAAGTTTATAATTATCCAAAATTCGCAAATAAAGCAACTCACCGAAAATTCCTCACCAAAGGACACAGACTAAAGCTAAAAAAATAAATGTGTTCTAATAACCTTTACCAAAACCCACATTATTTTTTTTCCTTTCCAAAGCTATTAATTAGCCTACACCTAACTGATCACATGAACTTGGCACTATGCTGTGTGTCCCCTTTAAAATGTTACACACATTCAAAAATGCATTAGCAGTTCTTTTTAGCCTTTTAGCTTTCAAAACAAAAAAACAATACTTCAAGGTCGTATTATAACTAAATGAAAAAGTAAAAAAGCAATAAAGATTACTTAGAACGTCCGATTATGATTAACTCAATATGCAAGTTTGACAGCCAGGGCATTCAATTTCTTACCAGATACCTTACTTTTCTTTCATTATCAGAAAGATCTGTGCTTAATCAGAATTAGGCATTTTTTTGGGTTAGTAGTAAAATACCTAATCTAAAATCTTAATTAAAAATTTGCTAAAATACTTGGTGGGTAACCTTTATCAACTTGTCCCTTCAAATAAATCCGAGAGTTACTGGATTTTGAAAGTATGTAAACCCACCAGGATTAAATAAAACAGAAAAGCTAAGAAAACTAAGGTTATTCTATGTAACTGTGTATGTCCTCTACTTTTAGCCTTACATATGTGGGAAGAAAATAATGAAAAAAATATTCCTAGGTAATCATTCTTCACACATCTCCATTTGTTAGATTCCCACTTTGGGATTGCAAAATAAACCAACGTCTTAAACTTCGAATAAGACTTTAACTCATTCAGAGAAAAAGGTAAAGGTTCATCCAGTCGCTTGCCATGAACAGCTCCTTTTGAAATGACTCTCAAATTTCCCTTCAGGAAAACATGGTGGAAAGGAAGGTGCAGGAACAGGGAGTGGCGGCATCTACTTCCCTCCACCCGTCCTGCTATTTCTCACTGCCCTTCTGTCTCTACTCTCTTCCTGTGGCCAGAGTATCATACAGAACTGTCAGAGCCCAAAAGAAATTAGCTGTAGAGTAGAATCAGGACTTTATTCAGCTGGCTGCCTGGGCCTTCTTCCCCTCAACTAAGGGAAAATTAGCTTTAAAACGTAAAAATAAATAAAATAAAAGGAAGAGAGAAAGAGAGAGGAAAGAAAAAAAATCACAACTCTCGTCTTACTTTGCAATCATTTACAAATTAACTCCCTCTCATAATTAGCAGCCTCAACTAAAGAATTTTACTCTAGGCAGCAAAGTATTACTGGAAGAAAGGAGTAATGTTGAATAAAATTACAATACAATTAAGTATGCAACAGACTGCTAAAATTCTGAGTGGCCAACCTTTAATAAACAAGGGGTGAGAACTTCTGACAATAACGAAGGCCATTTAAAGAACCAACAGCTGGGATTCAAAGGCTGAGCTGCTTCTATCTTTCCTTACAACTGCCTTAACATAAAAATCAAAAAAAAAAAAAAAAAAAAAAAGCAGAAAAACTCTTTTTTGTTTATGTAAAAACACAAAACCCATCAAACCTACGAAAACTGATACACATCAAATTCTCTTATAAGAAATACAGAAATCTTTTTTCAAAAGATACAGAAGAAATACGTCAAGAAATAAAAGCAAAATAACTTTTGGGGAGACTAAAAAAATTTTAAGCTGATGCCATCTTTATGAGAAAGACCTTTAAATAACTTAAAAATTCACCCTAAGAAGTTTATTCACAGCTCAAAATTTGACACTGTCTGACATCAGAAATATTAGAAATCCAAGTTCACTTTGGGGCTTAGATCTATATAATTTGCTGCAAAATGATGACACAGTCAATCTTTCAAATATAACTGGTAACACAGGCTTTCTACCAAACAGGAATTCTGTCCACTTTGCTCTAAGAAGGTCACTTTTCTTTCTTTAAAAGAGAGGGGGGAACATTGTACCTGTGATTATTTCAAGAAACTATGAAATTTTTTAAAAAGTAGAGAAAAATCAGTGAAATTCCCCCCAATACTCTCAAAACTAATCTTCGATAGACAGTAAAAGACAAAGACAAAACTAGGACCAATTGTGTGGGGAAGTGGAGTAAAAACTAGCACAAACCTGCTGCTGTGGGTACTGCATTCCTCCCATGGCCCCTGGGGTCCGACCTTGAATGCCAATTGGATACCGCTGTGGGCCTGGGGGGCCGTAGGAACCTGCCGGGTAAGGGCTGCTCTGCTGTGGCTGAGAATGAGGGTTACTGCCCATCCCATACAGCTGAGGTCTCTTCATCACCATGGGATCCATTGGGCTGCCCTGTGAAGAAATACACGAAGAAGTAGGCTTATTAAGTCATTATTACAAAGGCAGAAAGTTTGCTATGCTAACATATACATTACAAACGCAACTATCCTTTCTTTTGAAAATATTAAAAACGATGACCTGACAAATAAGACCCAGAAAAACATTAAGAAAAAAACCTAGGTGGATATAAGACATTTAATTTTTTTACTTTTAGCAAGGCTTTAATAATTAAGAGGGATCTGGAGCAAACAATATAAGGAAAGATTTTGCGTTCATCTAAAATTCTACTATGCATACAGGAAAGGGGCATGAGTTAACCTCACCCAGCTCCTTTTAGCTTACTAGTAACAAAGGCAAAGCACAGCGAGTGGTTAGGAACCCTTTCTGACTTCAAAGTATTCTTAGAACAATTACTTTATTTTAGACCTGAGTCTGCAAGTCCTGATCAAACATTAATGCATCTGAGTGTTCATTAGAAAGTGAAAGGATAGATTTTAGATAACACAGAATGTCTAGGGTAAAAATTTTCAAAGATCACTAGTGCACATGAATAAGCACCCAGACTATGAGTCACAAGCCACCTTCTCTATGCAAGTAAGCGTCTTACCATACATAACCAGTTCAAAACTAGACTTTGAGTTTTATTTTTGGCTTGGTGAGTCAGCCCATGGGCCTCAGGGCCAAGGTCATTCAGCAGAGCCGAACTGGAGCCTCAGTCTGCGCTTTCATGCCCTGGGTGCTTCAAAGGAGCAAAGCGGTGGTGGCGGAAGTCCCTCACCCCGGTGCTACAAAGGCCTACAGATCCCTTCTTCCTTCCTTCCAAAACCATATACTGATGCCTACTGTGTGCCAGACTCTATGTTCACACTGAGTACACGGGGACTCTCAGGAAGGCTTGAAGATTAGCAGGGTAAATGGAAGAAGCCACATTCAAGGTGGGGAGGGCCAGGGCACAGAGTACCACAGAGCAGAAGAAACAGCATAAAGCACAGGCTCAAGGGAGCTGAGCTGCCTGGCATGTGTGAGGAAACAAGCAGTTTAGATCCAAGAAGCAAAGCAGCAGCTGGAGCAGGCAGAAGCCAGTAGATGGGTGAGCCTTACATGCCATTTTAGAGGCTTCAGATTGCAACTTGGGGATAAACCACCGGGGGCTTTTAACAGAGAACTATAGAGTCAGATCTGCCTTCCGGAAGGACCACTCTCTTGGCAGCTGCCTGGAGCCAGGGTGGGCTGCCACAGAGGCCGGTGAGCTGAGGTCCTGGGCTGGTAGCAGTGCTGGGCAAAAGCAAGCCCAGATTCAAGTAAGAGAATGGAAACACAGCACGACTTGCGAGTGATGGAAGAGAGGTGTCAAGGGTGGCTTAACAGATGATAAGACACCAGGTGAGACAGCATGCAGTAGTAGAAGCAGATCAACCCTCCCCAGGGGGCGGGAGCCTTCACTATTCTGCATATTAGAACTGAGGTTCCTATAAGGAAATCCAGGTGAAAATATCCAGAAGAGCCACCATGAGTTTCCAACTTGGGGAGGAAGGTCTGACCCAGAATCATAAATAGGGAAGTCAGCATACAGAGAATATATGCTCCTGGAGGGCAGCGATTTCTGTTTTACTCACTCACGTTATATCTCCAGGACACAAGTCAAACAGTGCACCTGGCACACAGTAAATCCTCAATAAATACTGGATGAATTCATTAATATGAAGCACATAAAACTCAAGGACTCTACCCAGGAAGAATATATGAAAAGAGAACAATAGGTAGAAGGGAAAAGGAGGCCACAACTAGGCCAAAAGAATGGTCAGAAAATGTAGTTAGAGGTTGTAGAGAGCACGGTGCTATGGAGGAGGAGGGAGCAGGTGTCACAACATGCCAACTGCAGCCCAGGAGTCCAACAGGTGAGGGCTGAAGCTCTGGCTACGCCTCGTGACTGGGAGGTAACTGCTGAGCTGGGCGAGGGCAGTCTCGTTGCAGAGGTGAGGGCAGTCAAGCAATTATACTCCAATAAAGATGTAAAAAAAAAAAAAAAAAAAAAAGAAGCCCCAGTCCTACACATCCTCCAAGGCTGCCTGCAGTCTCTGCCTTCCCTCCTTCTTAGGGGTACCCTGGTGCTCATTTCAATGACTTGAGTAACCCACTCATCACACATTTAGTAAGCATCTACCGTGTGCACTATGCAGGGCACTGGAAGCAAAAAGTGGACAAGTGTCAGTGGCTGTCCTGGAGAGGTGAACAGGTTGAACAAAGATGTCAGTGCAACCCAGCAGACATCCTGAAAGGGGCTGTGAGGAGAGAGCATGCCAGTGGGTCTGAGTTTTCACAAAGCCCACCTACAGAAATACCTGAGCTTAGTCCTGAGGGGTTCATACGAATTTGCCAGGAACTGATCTCACCTGAATGAAGGTATGTGTAGGCCAGAGTTCTGCTCAAAATTCACAATTTCACGGAATTTTAACTGTGCTACTTTCACCAGCCAAGAAAAACGTTTACTTATTACTGTGACAGAAATTGCTCAAACAATATACTGATGTTACACAAACTGTGCTGACTTCACAATTCAACACACAAACATACATGGTGACCTCATGTAATGAAACTAAAATTGAAAACTAAGAATTAAGTTTTCTCAGAATGATTTAAATTAGAATTTATGCCTAAGAAAAGCAAAATGTAATGATTTTCCACACTTTCTTTCAAAAGATAAAATAAAACTTTCTATGAAAGTGTGAAAATCAAGGCTGAGTTGGTGATGCTAGAATCCGCAGTCAATGAATGGCCCACAGAGAGTAAATCAGATTTCAGGCTAAATTTCCAATATGGGGCCCGAGGCAGCCCTATCTTCACATTCAATCTGAATTAGCCAGGGCATAGGAAAGGTCTGCTTACTTGACTTTAAACAGTGCACAACCCAAACTGGCTTAATTAAAGCAGAAATTTAAAATGGGAGAATGATTGGAATGTCTATATTTTAATGCTATAGATAACAGTGCAGCAAATTCATCTTATCAGTGACTGAAACTGTTTTGTAATATCTTTCTCATCACTGCCATAAACTCTCACAGCCCTACTTAAAATTCAGTTAATTTGCACCCATGTCAAAATGTTAGCTTAACCCTGAGATTTCTGAAAATCGAAAGCATGAAATACACAGATTATCTCTACCTCTCAAAATGCATCAAATGCCTTTCAGTGAGATTCAGATATGAAAACAACATACTTACACAGTGCAAATTATTTAATTTTAAACTTCTCTCCTTATGGCCTATTATTAAATATTCAACCACAATCCAAATTCATCCCACTGTGTACTCTTGCTATTTTTAACACTAAATATGTACCACTGCAGGATCTCAACCCCTACTTTTTACAACTCTCTCCTTAAAGAAAACAAAACCCAGATCAAATCTAAGACTTTTCCGAAAAACAATTCACTTCTCATAGTCACATCTAACCCAAAACAACTTTGTATTTTTATCATCTACCCTTCTATTGATTCTACAGTATCACCATTTTCAATTCTCACATATAATTTATGTTATATCAGAGACCACCACATTAAGAATAGTCCTCAAATATTTCTCTAAATATGTTATTCCAAGCACATTTTTCCTTTCTAGTTACCATTCCACAACTGCTGCAATTTGGACTTCAATTCCATAAAATAAGACAAGTGCTTTTAGAGTCACAGTGTGTCTAGCCCATTTTCAAAGAAGTCTTAACATAACTAGTCTATGTTTAGTTACTCAGCTTCTAATGAATTTTATTACTTGATAAGACTTTCCTGTAACTCTTCCTTATTTAAGTTTTTAGATATGTATGTATTTAAATATGTAGTTATGGGGGTTCCCTGGTGGCACAGTGGTTGAGAGTCCGCCTGCCGATGCAGGGGATACAGGTTCGTGCCCCGGTCCGGGAAGATCCCACACGCCGCGGAGCGGCTGGGCCTGTGAGCCATGGCCGCTGAGCCTGCGCGTCCGGAGCCTGTGCTCCGCGACAGAAGAGGCCACAACAGTGTGAGGGCCGCATATCGCAAAAAAAAAAAAAATGTAGTTATGTATGTATGAGTTATCACTCTCTCTCCCTCCCCCTCTCCCTCTCTCTCCCCCCCTCTCTCTCTCTCTCTCTCTCTCTCTCTCTCACACACACACACACACACACACGCACACGCACACACACCCTTTCCTGGATCTCCTTCTGGCAAGCTGCCACTGCTGCCTACATCCTCCAAAGTCTCAGAAGGTTTCCCATCCCTGGGACTACTAAATAAGAAGGAGTACGAAGTATATTTTTTAAATATATATTTGAATATAGATTCTAGACATATTAGGTAGCACAGTTAGGCTGTATTATAGGTTAAATAGGTTTTCAGAGGCTGGCCTGGAAATCCACCTACCCTTTAAAGATTATCCAAATTAAAGAACAAGTCCCTATATATTTTTAGCATCCTTTATATATACTTGATGCTTTTTATACTTAGATATTCCCTCATTATCACTCTTTCAGAGTATACGTACACAAGCATTTATAACAAAGAAATCTACGTAACCGTATTCACTCCTAAATATCAAGTTAAGGGGATATCTTATTAGTAGTTTCTTTATGAATATAATGTTTCACAATTTTTTCAGCCAAATTCCTTAAACCACAAATTGAAGAAAGGCATTGAAAAACCCACAGAAAGAAGAACTATCACATCTTCTTGATCTATAATCATATCTGTATATATGGATTAAACAAGAGCTCAAGGAAAGAAAAACTCTCCCCCTTTTGAATCATTATTTGGGAAAATGTTCTGTCTTACCAGCAACCAAAGAAAACTTTTGAAGTAATATTCCATTACGTATGAAATGACAAAAATAATAAAACCCAATGTGAGTAAATGAGTATTTGAACTAGTATGTATAAAGCAGTGGTAAACTCTTTCTGAAGGATAATATGACAAGAAGCTTTTTTAAAATTATTTTTATTTTATTTATTTATTTTTTGGCTCTGTTGGGTCTTCATTGCTGCAC